ATTACCTGCCAATCACAGATTATGTACCAATCACAGATTACGTACCAATCACACATTACGTACCAGTCACAGATTACGCACCAATCACAGATCACGTACCAATCACAGATTACCTGCCAATCACAGATTATGTACCAATCACAGATTATGTACCAATCACAGATTACGTACCATTTACACATTACGTACCAATCACAGATTACGTACCAATCACAGATCACGTACCACTCACAGATTACGTACCAATCACAGATTACGTACGAATCACACATTACGTACCAATCACAGATCACGTACCAATCACAGATTACGTACCAATCACAGATTACGTACCATTCACAGATTGCGTACCAACCAAAGATTACGCACCAATCACAGATTATGTACCAATCACAGATTACGTACCAATCACAGATTACGTACCAATTACACATTACGTACCAATCACAGATCACGTACCAATCACAGATCACGTATCAATCACAGATTACGTACCAATCACAGATCACGTACCACTCACAGATTACCTGCCAATCACAGATTATGTACCAATCACAGATTACGTACCAATTACACATTACGTGCCAATCACAGATCACGTATCAATCAAGGATTACGTACCAATCACAGATCACGTACCACTCACAGATTACGTACCAATCACAGATTACGTACCATTCACAGATTACGTGCCAATCATACATTACGTAACAGTCAAATCACATACTATTAAGAATTAATTAGGCTAAAGTAATCTTACTTTCGACTTTAATTAGCCAATATGTTCCCCTTCCTTCTAAAAAGTCTGATGCATATGACTGTAAGTTTTCGGGTAGGTTTTTAACATGGCCATTTTCGTCCAGTAAATCTAGTGTCACTGTAACCATAGAAACAGAAACAGAGAATTAACAGACGCAGCCATACACATTTCCTACTGGACGCAACGATATAGTCTAATATTTGCTCTATTCTAGATCACAAACGACCACACAAACAGATACATTGGTAGATTTGAACCACATTGCCTTCAGTCATCTTCGTCTCCAGAGGGCGCTACATAGGAAATGTATATGTTTTTTATTTATGGTGAATGTCACATTTAGAATTGTGTACAGCCATGGGACCAAAACGGTTTTACTATTGAGTAAATTGTAATTGCGTGACCTCATTGAAAATAAATAGATAATAAATAATTTAAAAGGTATAACATGTATACACAAATCTGCTTTTCGTTGGGAGTCTTGTTGTAATATCCGGCGATTTTAATCGACATCAATCGTGATAGTGTACGGTCTTTAGCACCATCGAAATATTCGTACTGCGTAACTTGGGACACTTGAAAAAACTTAATTCCCTTTATTTTGTAAAAAAAAACTATTGGAATGTATTTCTAAATGTTTCATTGAATATTGTTTTGTTTATTGCCCGGTATTCATTGAATCTATGTGTTTTGCTCGCTTATCAGTTCCACTCAGTGGCATTTTCAGTTGCTGTCAGTCGCTGTTGTGGCAATATATAGATGTATAAATTTGAATAAATAACTCATCAAACGGGTAATATATATAATTTATTATTTATGCAGATGACGTCACAGTACTTCTTATTTAATAGTGCTCGTATTAGGTAGATATGTTGGTACATACTGAAGAACTACGCTGAAAGAATTTCACTAATGTAAAACACATATAATACAAAACAATGACGCTCATGAAATATATGACGTAGGTGAATATTATTTGCATTACTGTCAGTATTTTATATCGTTATAGTGACATTTACTAATGACGTGATGTTATAGTGTCGCGAATTGTGACAATTGGGTCGGTATGACGCATGCGTGGTGCGACAGTGGAGAATATGCACCTTTGGCAATTCAAGTTTTTATACGATTGTTATTATTAAATTGATTCAGGTGTAAATGCAGAGGACAATAAATTATTCAAAAAAAAAACATCCCAGCCCATGGTATTATTATATTGTCTGCCAGCGAATTCCAGTCTAATGCCATAGTAACCGGCGCGTCATGGGCTCATACCATGGCAACTAGCGTGTCGTAATATGTTACTATGGTACTTAGTGTAACATATTGGTATTAACCATGATTTAATTAAAAGGTCCGCCGTGAAAGAAGCCAGCATCGCCACGCAGTTGTGATTGCTCTTGGATTGCAGTCGATTGTTGAGTCCCAGGCACAACAGATGCTGCATTCATTTTTTTAAAAACATGCGTCTTTTAGTAGGTGAAAAGAGATCGATAGATAATAGGTGTCTGTCTTCCGAATTGAGTATTAATGATTGAACCTTGAGTGGGAACTTAAATAATGGTTAATAGGGTGCGTTGAGACCCAGTGTCAAACAGTATGCTTATAATGTTCACAAGTGAACCATTAACGACGCCGGGATCCCGACCCTTAATCTTCACAAATCTCCATAGATTGTCTTCTCTAGGGTCTACGAGTGTAGTCAACTTTTATACCGATATGTATGAAATGAAGCGTGCAAATAAGGCATATTTAATAGAATGGCGGCCCTTTTCACTAAATTTAACGACAACTATGGTCGATATGAGCGGTACCCAGTGTTCTCAGTCTCAGGATTACATTTTAATCGTGAGATTAGCGTTCAATATTATAAGTTGTTCTAAATAAAGATAATAACTTTCTCCCGTTATTAGCTCCACGCTATAGGGGTTGCCATTAGAGACCGCGTCCCTACAACAAGATATCCTATATTTATATATGTTTGGTTTGTGTTTACGTCACTAAATGTCTCATTTGTTTGTGTTTACGTACTGCACGTCCCATTAGTTTGTGTTTACGTCACTACACGTCCCATTGGTTTTTGTTTACGTCACTACACGTCCCATTGGTTAATGTTTACGTCACTACATGTCCCACTGGTTTGTGTTTACGTCACTACACGTCCCATTGGTTTGTGTTTACGTCACTACACGTCCCATTGGTTAGTGTTTACGTCACTACATGTCCCACTGGTTTGTGTTTACGTCACTACACGTCCCATTGGTTTGAGTTTACGTCACCACACGTCCCATTGGTTTGTATTTACGTCACTACACGTTCCATTGGTTTGTGTTTACGTCACAACACGTCCCATTGATTTGTGTTAACGTCACTAAATGTTGGAAAAAACCTCATTAGATGACATTAAATAACTGTGTTTGAGCATGAAGGTAAAATAGTTTTACATCCATGGTTTGAGTCTAGCCATGGACGCACTAACAAATAGTACCGTACATCCATGGTCGAACTAAGGCAGCCATATTGTCCGAGTATTCAGCCGATCACGAAACTTCGGGAAAAACAACATCCACTTGTGAAACATTTTATGAACTGGTATCTAGGGAAAAAGTTCAGGTAAAAGAAAAAAAATGTTTTGCCATGACTATTAATCTGTATGCGCCTCACAAACTCAGGCGCGTTTTGTTTTGTTTGATGATAGCTGGGCGCGCTGGGCCGGGCGCGTGATACGGGAAATTTTTGCTTTGATGTGAGGGCGCAATTCCCATATCGTTACGAGGCCTGGCAATACGAGGTATATGATAAAATGCAACAATTGTGTCATTTCCTATATTTATTTGAAAATCACAATTTAATATTTGAACTTTGCAAACTATTATTATTTCTAGAATAGAATAGAATCTTTATTGCTAACATACCCTATATTTGAGGTCCTGGTGAAAAGTAAACTAAAGCAATAAATTATGAAAACATATAAACTAACTAACATTAACAACAGGGAAAAATCAAACAAGACGCTCAAATTTCTAAACACAGAAAAAATATGTTTAGAAATTTGTGTTTCG